GACTTAGATACCAGACATGGCTCAACGGAACCTCGCTCTAAGCCCATGGCTAGAGCACCCAAAGGCGGAAGGCAGGGAGAGTACCCACGAGGCTTGCATAAAGCCATGGTGTTCCGAAATGTTGTCCCAAAGGCCCAGACTGTGGAAAGGAAGAGGAGTAGTCCTCTGGTGTGGTGACCAAGGATACAGTCGTGCGGTGAGGAAGTCCCAAAGGACCATAGGACTTAGTGGTCGGGCCTGTGGGCCTTGATTCAGTGGCAGTGTTGGCGAACACGGCCAAGGACAGAAAGGGATTTGGTGGGGTCCAAAAAGGAGATATTGGGGAAGGCTATTCCCCATGTCTGTGGGCATCCTAAGGATGCTAAAGAGTGGATTTGGGATGACCACTCATGGACGGATGGCCCAGTCTTAGAGAGACGGGATTGCAATGCAAGTGGTGTTGAACCACCGATGTGACCAAGGTGATTGGGCATGGCCTAGCATAACGAGTTGGTATGTTGGTGGTGCCTTGGGGTGTCAGTCAGGGGACCGGACACGTGGAGCATTTGGACCAAGTGCAAAGGTTGAGTGGCATAGATGCCATTCTCGGGGCTAGCAAGCCCCAAGTCCTGAGTGGGACTTATGGAGGTTGTGAATGAGACTCCTCCAAGTGGTCGGAGGTGTGGTTAAGTGACTAAAGTAGAATGGAAAAAAATTAATCCCTTACAGTTGTGTTTTAACATTCTTGTTCAAAACAAATTCTTATTTTGCTTTTATGGTTGAGAAATTTCATACCTTAATGTCTCAATTGAGGATATGCATACTTTCATGAGTGTTTATTATTCACAGATAGATGATTTGATGGAACAATTTGTTCAAACCTTCAAGAGGATGATCGTAAAGTATAAAAACTTTCAATATTCATATTAGGATGGTTATATGTTATTTTTTTTATATATGTATATCATAAGGGTGCATAATTTCACTAGTACTTCACTTTATAAACTTTTATATGGTCACAATTTAATACTGCTAATAGAAGTGAGTTTATCTTTGTGATTGTCATAACTTACCGATACTAGGTTGTAAGATTAATATCTAATGAGCATTGCTCCATTAGTTCAAATGAAATTTACTGAACACTTAGGCCACATATAAGTGGCATAACAATGGTGCTTATAATGCACATGGTTTTGACCCTTTATCCTATAGTGATTTACCATAGTATAACACCACAAAAGGGAACTTAAACCTTCTTTATGCCACATGACACATGCCACATGCCACATGCCACATGTCCAAGGACAATGGTGTAGAACTTGAGTTTCAAGGCCTTGAGCCATTGAATAAAGGTACGGAGGCAAACTCCTAAACATAGAGCTAAGGAACAGCAAAACTAAATCACGAAGCAACTCTTGAGCATACAACCCAAGGAGCGAAGGGACATGAGCATGGAGTGACATGACAATCAATCATCCAAGAATTAATTGTGTTGATGTTATAATGCAACAGCTATTATCCACAAAGGGCCTTCAACAAAACCCTTCCTTCTCCTCCTCCCTGCTTCTGGCCATTCTCTTCCTCCTCCGGTGTGTTGCCAAGTTTACAACCTCACTAGGTGGAAGCTGGATCCTCTCTGGCTACACAATCTCCACATCTCACCCACAAGTGGTTTTCACAGTAGCAGTTTTGTCTCAACTCCTGCGGAATTGAAAGAATGAACAAGAAGTCCTATCACCATATCTGGATAATGCAATCATTTTGAGACATGCAGAAGAACTTCTCTCACTACACCATGCTTCTCATCTTGAGGCATGAGACTGGCAGTGATAGAGTTTTGGTAGAAAAGCTATAGTTCTTTGATAGAACCAAGCATAGGACTGGATCTCCATAGGATTGTCAAGAAGTCGTGCCCAGTGAATCACTTTCCTGGCACTGATGGGCAGAATTCTTTGGATATGGAGTAAGGAATGTTCAAAGCACTGGAAGTGTGGAATGATGGAATATTAAAATAGATTCTTAAAAGATACCATGTTTAAGGTTCTTCTTGTCGTGCGAGTAAAGTAAGCCCTATTCCTGCGAGTAAGCGAGAGCAAGTAAGTTCGCGTTTGTTTTTTCGTGTGATCAACGATGGCAAGAGTTCTTCCTCCTTGGAGACCTGCTGGAGCTGCAAAGACGCTGCCACTGTCACCACGAGCGCTACGACGAGCAGGTCCTGGTGCGGTGCCACCTCCTCCTCGGCAAGCAGGGCAAGCAACTCCTCCACGAGCAGTTTCGCCTCGGTCACCACGAGTAGCAGGATCTGCACTAGCACCACCGAGCTCGCCACGATCTTCTCGAGCGGCTCCTCATCCTCCTCGGGCACAAGCGGCTCCTCATCCTCCGCGGGCAGTGTCTCATCGTCGGCTAGCACCACCATCTGAGAGCAAGACTCCTCCTCCTCCTCGGCCAGTGTCTCATCGTCCGCTAGCACCACCATCTGAGAGCAAGGCTCCTCCTCCTCCTCGGCCAGTGTCTCATCGTCGGCTAGCACCACCATCTGAGAGCAAGGCTCCTCCTCCTCCAGCAAGCAGCAACAATGCTCCAGGACGCCACAAGGGGATGCCGCCACAAGCTCATCACGGCCCAGCAGCTCCTCCTCGGGAGCAGGGACATGTTCCTCCACATCGTGGCTCTGGACCTCATCACCGGAGGCGATCACGGTATGGCTTTCATTGCTCTATGGCTCCATTGCTCTATGGCTCCTGTTAACGTTGGATGTTCCAGGAGCAAACCACGGCGTCATGCTCCCCGTGCTAATACACCACCACCGCCCTCTTGTCCAACGAAACATGGTCATTCTCCACCGAGGCAAGCTTCACCAAGCAACGCTCCTCCTCGGGCAGTGGCGCCTCATCCTCCACCATCTCACAGTCGAGAGCACGGGGCTCCTCCTCCTCCAGCAAGGGATCATCCAGCAGCGCCGCCTCCTCCTCCAGCAAGGGATCATGGTCGCCATAGGGAGAAGGGGCCGCCACCTCAATCTCCCCCACACAGCCGCCCTGCAACTCATGGCACCGCTCCTCCACATTGCGGGAGGACGCCTTCAGCTCACTCGCCACCTTTCAGGTACTATGGGTTTTTTCATTGTTTGCCACCTGCTAAAAGTTTTTGGTTTTTCAGGAGCAAACCACCTCCTACACCGTTGAGTGCTGGTTCGGAGACACCTCCTGCTCATCAAACCAGCGAGCATCCCGCGAATGGTGATGGAACTAGCAGCGGAGGGAATCCGTGGACGTGGGATTGGGATTGGGATCCAACCATAGAGTGGCAGCCTGGTTACGTCCCAGCTACCGGCAGCCACAGCAGTGGCTCCATCACCCCTGCTCTTCCTCCTCCTCATGGGGGGAACTCGGTTCCAGCGGTTGCAGGAGTGGCAGCGGTCGTGTGGATTCCTCTCGTGGGGCTCGTGTTGGTTATTCTTGTCCTGCTGCTCCTGGTTGTGCGGTCTTGCCTCCGCTGCCGCGAGAGGAACAGGGACGAAGTATTCATCTACAATGCTGCTGCGGCTTCCGATCATTATTGAGAGTGCAACAAGGTTATGAAGAAGACTCTCTCTAGAATGAACTACACAACAACACACCTCTAAGAAAGGAGATCTCCAAGGAAAGGACTACACACAAAAACGAGAAGCAAGGAATTTGCAATGGATTAGTGCTCAGACATCTCTACCAAAAGGACTACACAGAAAAGCGAGAAGCAAGGCCTCAACATGTATGTCTACTGAAAGGACTACATAGAGACTAGAGAAGCAAGGCCACAACATATATCTCAACAGAAAGGATTACACAGAGAGAAGAGAAGCAAGGCCGCAACATATCCCTATTGAAAGATGGTGAAGAAGAAACATTAGATTAGTGTGTGAAGTGTGGATTTGATTAGAGTATGCAGTGTGGATTTGTTTGTAAAAGCTACAAGTTTTTGTCATGGAAATTATCTTTATTCACAAACAGCGCAAACTCTACAAAAACACTTCAAGTTGAAGCGGCACCCAAGCTGCATTTGAGGCTCGATGAAAGAACCGAGTGGATTGCGGCCTTGGTGAAAGCCTCGGTGGTATGGATGCCGCCCCATCTCATGTAGTGCTTTGGATTAGAACAGGCCCGAGCGGTGAAGTTCCTGCCACTGACCACTCCGTGCGTTCCACAGGGAACTCGCGGATCATAGTTGTATGGCTTTCCAGTCCCGCAGCAAGCTTCTGGTCCGTTCTGAAACCTTGGATGCAAAGCAAGAACGATTCATAATTAGAGGAGAGGATCATATAGCATACCGGTTACCATTCATGGCAACGTAGATAAGCCTCCGGACGGAGTCCCCAAAGCTGGCTTGCAGCACGTCTATGGTGACCCTGAGAAGCTTGTTATGAAGAACTGTGATCTGGTTGTAGTTGATGAGGCAGCCCATGGGCTGGCGAAGCTGGTCAGGAACTCGGGCGAGGATCCCAGAGGTGGAAGATTGAAGACCATGAAGTTGGCCTCTCATAGTGATTCTCCTAGTAATAATTCTTAGGTAGCCTTTTCTTTAGTCTGAAAAAGATCTAAAGAAATGTAATTTAATTATCATTTACAACTTTTAATGTTACAAATAAATTGGTCACAATGTGCTAATAGAAGAGAGGAAGAATTTATTAGCAAAGACACCACAAATGACTCACTGACACCGTCTTATTGTCGCTAGTGCACACCACTCACACCTTGATTCTCTTTCCGAGGATTGTCTTTTAATCAAGATAGTGTGAGTGGTGTGCACTAGCGACAATAAAACAGTGTCAGTGGAGGTCACCTGGCTGGCGGTCTTTGCTAGTAATTTCTTCCCCGGCTAGTTTTCCGGATCTCCCAAAAGAATTGACGAGAGAGGTGCAGACAACCCCCCTGCGAAATAAATCCAGCCTCCATCACGAGCTCGTAAACCCAGTCCAAATCCCAAGAGAACTCTTCGCTAGCAAGAGCCTTGAGTAGTAACTTCGTTTGGCTGGAATCCCTCTAGCTGCATTCTTCTGTAGAGGCCACCTTGGTCGTGTTGTAGTTTTCTGATGCCATGCTCGTCCACAAAACCACGTCTTGCTTGCAAACTCCCGAGAAAACTCTCCGTGCTTCGTCCAAATCCCCGCACCGGCTATAAAAGTTAATCAGTGCTGTAGCTACGAAGCTGTTCGAGTCGAGTCCACAGCCCTGTAAACCCACACGGATCTCCCGTCCCCTTGACAAATCTCTCGAGCTCGAGCAAGCTTCCAAAATGGTGACGAAACTCTGCCGATTTGGAGCCGTCCCTTCCTGCAGCATTGTCCGGAAGATCTGGAAAGTGTCACTGGAACCATCCTGTTCTTGAGAGAAGGCCGAGAGAATACCGTTCCAAGTCGCTAAGTCGCGGTAAACCAGCCTATCAAACACTCTCTTGGCGAGCTCTGGACTTCCACACCTCGAGTACATCCCAACCAGTGCATTCCCGACCACAACATTCTCGCGATCCTCCTGTGGATCCCAATCCCCAGCTCCAAATCTTCTGGAGCCTGGCAGAGATTTAAGATCGTGACGAGCGTGAAGTGGTCGGGCTTGACTCCATCTCTTTGCATCTGGATGTAGAATATCATGGCTGATTCTTCATCACCCTGCTCGATGAATCTGGCGATCATTCTAGGCCAAGCTATCACTCCTCACGAAGAAAGACGAGAAAAACGTCCCTGGCGTCTTCCACCGCACCACATTTCAAGTAAGTGTCAAGGAGCTTACCCGCGAAGAAGTAATCTCCATCGTCAAGCCTGCCATCGCCATCGCTTGAAGAGATCAGTCGATGGAGCCTCTGGGCCTGCGGCAGCGCCTTGAAATGCCCACACAGCTTCAGGAGATGGCTGATCCTCTCGCGATCTGGCGATGATTCCGCAGCCTCCAGAAGCGCTTCTAGGTTGCTGGCGCTGGAGGAGCGCACGACACCGGCAATGCAGCAGAAACCTAGGCCTAGCGATCTCTTCCGGCCATTCACATGCCGGAATAGCATAAACACTCTAGTTTTGAAAGTAGCGGGAATTCGAAATCTAGAAAGTCTAACATAGTTTGGCACGAGGATCCAAAGATAAGAGCTGGGTCAAAGGAGATGAGCCCTGTTCTCCATGGCCCTACAGCAGGTTGAATCCTTTCAACCTGCTGCTGCCACCACCGTCCATCCAGCCAACCCATCTCTTCCTTTTCACTGTGCCCTGGTGAATCCTTCACCTCAGTGCTTCCACACTAGAATGCATCTTAGAGCATAGAAGTGTGTTTTTGCTTTGGAGATGACTCACCAGGAAAAGAGCTCTCACAGCACACACTAGTGCTTTGGTATGTTAGAAAATTTTTCCATTAGAAGAACAAGAAAAATCTAATCTTCCAAAATAACTACTATTCACACCATGAGATAAAACATCTTATATGTCACACTTTGGAAGTTAAATCAAGCAATTCTTGATGCTAGGATAGAGAGCTTGATAAGATTTACAAGCCCATAATCTCTATAGCCCAAAAGAATTTACAACTTGAGAAAACTATTGTTTCTTATCCAAGAAGAAAGAAAATTTGAGAGCTTCTCTAGAATTCTAGCATGACATTAGAAATTTTGCAGCCAAGCACACCCATCCTCACCTTTAGAATTTTTCCAGTGCCAACACCATTAAATCAAGAAAAAATGACTGGTTTATTGTGGTTGGCATTGCCTTCAATCTTTATTTTATATTTTCTCCATTATTACTATGACTCCATTATTATAGGCAAATATATAGGATATCATTGTGTGATGAAGAAGCTACAAAAGTTTTTAGCTAGAGATGTGACGTGATATCATACAATATATACATAGCTGCATTTAATGCTAAACTCGTAATACCCCCTTTGTGTTGTGAAAAAACAATTGGACTCAATTATAGTTTCCCATTTGTTTGAGTTAGTAGTGTTTTATCTAAAAGGGCCTTCAAAATGATGTTCAAGAAGTATAAAATCTTTCAATATTTAGGTTGGGTTGCTATTTCTCTTATATATGTATATCATAAGGGTGCATAGTTCCATTAGTGCTTTACCATAAAAACTCTTATATGATCATAATTTAATATTGTTAATATAGTTAAGTTTACCTTTGTGATTGCCATGAACTACCAATGCAAACTCTTAAGATCAATATTTGATGAGTATTCTTCCACTAGTTTAAATGGAATCTACTAAACATTTAGGCCACATATAAATGGGATAAAAATGGTGTTATAACTCTCATCATCCTCCACTTGAAGAGTACAAAATGGATGACTTAATATTGCTCGTTTCCCAATTTTATAAATGTGGTTTACCTAAGGGGCTTATAGGTTTTTAATATATATTATAAGATAAAAAATTTAATGTGCTAGAAAAAATGAATTTTATACTTTGAATTACTTTATAAAATAAAAAATATTAAGTAAAATTATGCATAATAATTTTTTAGTATATATCTTTAGACAAGCGTTTTAATGTGCTAGAAAAAATTTATTTGAATATTTTAAATTACTTTACCAAATAAAACATATTAAGTAAAAAAGTGCATAATAGTTTGTTAATATATTTTTTGAATAAAATTTTAATATGCTAGAAGAAATATATTTGATACTTTAAATTACTTCAAAAAATAAAAAATTCTTAAATAAAAATTATGTACAAGAAATGATAAGGAGGAACAATTGATATGGAAGCTATGTCAGGCCTAGGGCAAATAATGGTGAACGTCACACTTTCAATCTTTTTACTTAAGCCATCCACTCTCCAACTATGCACTATAATGTAGCTAGAAAAAGTTTCTTGCGATCTATTGAATCTGCTTTATCATTTGTTATAGATGTATTCTCAAACATAGTCATGTGGGTGTTTAGATCTCCCATGCCATTAAAGATGGTATACTTCATATTCATTGTTGCCATATTCCCTGCTTGTTGCTGCCAAGGTTGTTGTACTTGTTAGATTGGTGGCTGCTGCTGTTGCTGATCTACAAGTTGTTGCCATAGTGATGACAACTGGAACTCCTGCCACTCGTCTTTTTGTTCTTAATCATTCTTCTGCTCGCTGATAGGATTGCTTGGCAGAGGATTTGCACTCTTCACTCTTGGACTCTCTAGATCATAAAACAGTGGTGGATTTCTTGCAAGAATTCTCACCTCTCTCTCATATCATTGCTTTGCTCATCTTTCCTCTCACTCTTGCTCTTTGGCTCACACACCATCATCAATCTCGAAAACATCCAAAGCCAATGTAAGCTTGAATAAACAAAAGCTATGTCAAATTAAAAAAAGCAACGATAAATAATTTATGTTTTCTTCTTCTATCTTTGGTATCTAATGAAAATGTTCTTGTGATTGCTTACACAATGTACTTTACACTATATCCATCATTTGGCTAGGAGAAAATAGCTGGTCAAAGAAGGAATGGAGAGTGAACGAAAGTTTGTCTAGCTCCGATATATAAGTGCCAGATTCAAGAGGATCAACATTTGAACTCTTATGAAGGAGTGTATGGAATTGATTGGTCTGGACTCCAATCTCCTTGAGCCCATCATGTTTGGCTAGAGGTACGAACTCTAGATAAAGCATGACTTTTATAAACCAAAAGAGGTTTTCTGCAATTGGGACACCCTTGAGCCTCAAATATGCAAATGCAAATGATGGTCATAGGTAAGCTACCTTGATGAGACTAGCCACGTATGAACACTGGATCCAAAAATCCTTGGCTCACAAGCACTCACAACTATCATTGAAAAGGGTCTTAATCACATCACCCTAAAACTTCTCAAAATGGCAAAGATTATTGCTGAAATCTGTGATGCTTGGGACCGCATTGCTAGTATAATCTTGGAGGTGTACATTCAAAACTGGCCTAGCATTGAAATTGCTATTAAACAGCATATAAATTATCGGGTTTGAGTGGCACTACAGAGTTGCCAAACAACCCATCTATGGATGTGATGACCACCCTTGAGGCACAATGGCAATTGGAATGGGTGCATAAACACTTATATATTAGTGGGGTTGATAAAGCAGCCAACACACCCACCTTCTTTTGCAATGCATTAACCCACAGGGAAGCACTCGCATAGATGAACAATGAAGACTTCTCACTTGTGGTCTCGGACAACAATGTCTCTGAGACATTTGAGACAATTGTGAAGCAATTGCTCAAATACCTGCTTTTATAGGAATTCTTGTCTTAACAACCAGATCTCCTATACTTTATAGGAATCTACAAAGTGCATAAGAATAAAATGCAATGGTTAACAAATGCAGTGTGAGACACAAAATCCCTAGGCCCCAAAGTGGAGCCGGAAGGGTGCCACGTGGTAGTGGCCGAAGCGAGAGCCAAACGAGCGTAACACGTTTGGACCAAAAGCTCCGACTTGAAAAGTCAAGAGCGAGAGTGGAACTCCCAATGAAGTGCTCGAGGAACGAGCACGAAGCGAGCAAAAAGCGAGGCTCCAAAAAGGGACCCAAAAGGACCAACACATGACACGTGGGAGTGTCCGAGATGGACTCGAGTTGGAGTCCGAAGTGGAGTCCGAGATGGACCCGAGTTGGAGTCCGAAGTGGAGTCCGAGATGGACCCGAGTTGGAGTCCGAAGTGGAGTCCGAGATGGACCCGAGTTGGAGTCCGAAGTGGAGTCCGAAATGGACCCGAGTGGAGTCCGAAGTGGAGTCCGAAATGGACCCGAGTTGGAGTCCGAGATGGAGTCCGAGGTGGACCCGAGATGGACCCGAAATGGAGTCTGAGATGGAGTCCGAGATGGACCCGAGATGGAGTCCGAGATGGAGTCCGAGATGGACCCGAGATGGAGTCCGAGATGGAGTCCGAGATGGACCCGAGATGGAGTCCGAAGTCGAGACCGAGACCGGGACCGAGACCGAGACCGAGACCGAGACCGAGATCGGGACCGAGACCGAGACCGAGGCCGAGGCCGAGTCCGAGTCCGAGTCCGAGTCCGAGTCCGAGTTCGAGTCTGAGAGGGTGAAAGCCCAAAGCGTTCGTCTCCCAGACCCTGGGGGGTTTGGTGAGCTCCAAAAGTATAGTAGGGGGAGGACTACAGTGGAGCCAGTTTGGCCAGGAAAGGCCAGTTTGGCCCAGGAAGGCCGGACCCAGTGTTGGGTGATGAGCTGCCCACTGAGAAGTCCAAGACTAGAGTGAACACAGACCGACAAGCGGGGTAGCTTGGTGAAGTGTTCAAGAGTCGGCTCTAGTTCCCCCGGGAGATCGACTGGCCGATGCTCCCAGTCCAAGTGTGGGTGGCACTACCTACTTGGATACCTGGTGTGGCTCAACGGAACCCGCTCTAAGCCCATGGCTAGAGCACCCAAGGGCAGAAGGCGAGGAGAGTACCCAGGTGGCTCGCGTAAGGCCACGGTGTTCCGAAATGTTGTCCCAAAGGCCCAGACTGTGGAAAGGAAGAGGAGCAGTCCTCTAGGGTAGTGACCAAGGACACAGTCGTATGGTGAGGAAGTCCCAGAGGACCGTGGGACTTAGTGGTCGGGCCTATGGGTCTTGATCCAGTGGCAGTGTTGGCAAACACGGCCAGGGGTAGAAAGGGACTTAGTGGGGACTGACAGAGGGATATTGGGGAAGGCTATTCCCCTTGTCGGTGGGCATCCTAAGGATGCTAAGGAGTGGATCTAAGATGACCACTCACGGATGGTTTGCCTAGTCTTGGAGAGCCAAGACGGTGATGCAAGTGGTATTGGACTACCAGTGTGGCAAAGGTGATTGGGCATGGCCTTAGCGTAACGGGCTGCTATGTTGGTGGTACCTTTGAGTGTCGGTCATGGGATCGGACACGTGGAGCACTTGGACCAAGTGCAAATGTTGAGTGGCATGGATGCCATTCTCGGGGCTAGCAAGTCCCAAGTCCTGGATTGGACTTATGGAGGTTGTGAATGAGACTCCTCCAAGTGGTCAGAGGTGTGGTTAAGTGACTAAAGTAGAATGGAAAATTTAGTCGCTTACAATTTGGTATCGGAGCTATTC